TTGTTCTCGGGGACCCACAGGGTGTAGGAGGTTTGGGTGAAGGTCGGGGCGTTGTCGTTGACGTCGGAGACCTGCACGGTTATGTTGTGCTGGGTCTTGAGCCTGGGTGTCCCCAAGTCGGTGACCGTGATGGTGATGTTGTACTCTGCTCTGCTCTCTCTGTCCAGAGCTCCTTCTGTTACTAGCCTGTAGAAATTCTCAACGGAAGGTTTCAGCGTGAATGGAATGTCATCCTGGATGGAACAAAGCATTCTTCCATTTTCTCCAGAGTCTCGATCCCGAGTCTTAAACAGAGCCACTTCTGTCTCAGGGAAATTTTCAGGAATAGGACTGGTAAGTGATGAAATAGTTAATTCTGGGGGATTATCATTAACATCCAACACCTTAATAGAAACAGAGCATTTTCCAGAAAGTCCCCCGCCATCCGATGCCTCTATATCTAGTTCATATGAGGATATTGTCTCAAAGTCTAGTAATTTAATTAGTCGAACTTCTCCTGAAAAGCTGCTTAGTTCAAAAGTTTTGGCTATCTCCTGAGAAGTGTAAAGGGAGTATGATATCTCTCCATTTGTCCCAGTATCTAAATCCCTAGCAGAGACCTTGACAATGAGGGCCCCTAAAGGTGTGTTCTCTGGTACCTGGACCTCATAGAGCGTTTGCGCAAACTCAGGGGCATTGTCATTAACGTCCATGACCAAGACATGGATTTTGGTTGTGCCAGTTCTCGGTGGAGAGCCGCCATCCAGAGCTGTCAGAGTTAATCTGTACTCGCTCTGCTCCTCACGATCCAGCTCTTTATCCAGCACCAGCTCTGGGTATTTCCTGCCATCTCCCCGGTTGTAGATGGAGACGTGGAAATGAGAGTTGGGTCCGATATTGTAGTTTTGAATATTGTTGATGCCCACATCCAAATCTTGAGCTTTTTTCAGAGGAAACACAGCCCCAGGAGGGCTAGTTTCTGGGATTTTCAGAGTCATTTCTCTTTCAGGAAACTCAGGAGAATGGTCGTTTATATCTCCCAATAGTAGCTCAGCTCGGAATACTTCCAGTGGTTTTTTCAGTAACACTTGGAAATGCATTACACAGGGCTCGGCTGGACCGCACAGCTCCTCCCGGTCCAATTTCTCATTTAATAATAACTTCCCAGTCTGCTGATGGAGATGCAAGCGTGGTTCATTATCTTCGGAGGCCACCCGGGCTCCCCGCTCAACTAGCTCTTCCACTCCCAGTCCTAGGTCCTTGGTCAGATCGGCCACAAAAGAGCCGCTCTCTAGTTCCTCCAGCACAAAATAGCGATGGGGCTCCCAGCCTGCCCGAGCCACTCCCAGTAAGAGAAAGAGAATGAGGACTTGCCTTTCTTTCCGCTCCCCACAGGCCTCCATCTTTCCTTTTGCAGAGGTCTATCCAGGAAAAGGGCTCAGCAGTACCTCAGGGAGCAATAGGACTGAGACAGGGTTCGATGTGTCAGTTGGATAACCTCTCGGGATAGGAGGTAAGTAGGAATATCTGAAGACTTACTGGTCGGAACTTTATTTACAGGCTTTTCTCTTCCGCTGGAGATCTAGGGTTCCTAGCGTTTACAGAGGTCTCTTTTAAAGCCTTAGCCTGCAGCGCCACCATGCGTTGGTTTTTGCTTAGAAACGAATTGCTACATTAATACTATTTTTGTAGAAGTCATTAGAAATTTGGAAATTGTTTGGAGGAAGGGAGATGATTAATCACTAAGTCATGCAATCATAATTGTTCATTCTTGAAGAAGTACTGATCTCTATGTGCCAGGTTCTTGAAATACATCAGCAAACAACCTAGACATCTTCCCTACCTTCTATAGCCCATAATATAGTTCGGGGGTATCTGAGGGAAACTGAGCAGTGAAAGAAGACATGATAGCAATCAGTAATCTTGTAAAATGAATAACATACATCTATGTGATTTCTTAAAAATGTGTCATCAAAAAAGAAATTGATTCCCCTGGATGTAGATTCTAGGCAGCCTATGTACGACAAGTATTGAATTACATCAAGGAAAAAATTACAAGTTCATTCCAGTTAATGATATCCTTTCCACACAGGGTCAAAGAAGTATAACTTTATGAAAGTTTCCAAATATGAGAAAATTTATATGAGGGCACTTGTCTTAAATTTTTTTCTCTCCAGCACTTATCATCTGATATAGCATAAGTATACATATTTAATCATTTGTTTTCATCATTTATAAGTACTATAACCTTGCTTTTATCACTGCTACATCCCAAATATCTAAAATAATCCCTGGTACATAGTAGATGCTCTACAAATATTTGTCAAATCGATCAGAGGGTAAATCACAATTAATTAAAAAATTCTGATAGGGTTCTTCTCCAGTTGCAGTTATAGTTCTTTATATAAGTTATATAAACAAGATGTTGTCTTCTCAAGTACCTATGTCTATGACCTTTTGAGGAGTAATTTAAAACAACTCATATTGATCTAAAATGTATTTCCATTAAATGACAAAATACTGTGGCACCTCTTAACCAAAGAAATACATTATAAAAAGAAATAACAACAAAGTTATGATTATTCCATGAATAAGGCAAGCTAGAAACATTTTCCATGTCAAGGTTATTTCACACTAATGTTATTTTGACACTAATGATATCTAAAATCTCTTATGTGGCAGAATTTTCTAAGTATTTCTGTTAAACACTTTGAAAACTGTACCACTGAAAAGATCTCCCAGTTCTTCTCAAAATTATCTATTTTACCAAAACCTTCTGGTTATCTCTTCCGCACTATGAATGTCAACACCATTTTTATTGTAAATGTTATATTAATAGGAAAAGCCACAATAAATATCTCAAGTCAATAGTAAGGTCTAACCAATTCATGCAAGAATATCTAAACATAATTTTTAATAAAAATTCTCACTTAGCAATCTTAGTTGGAGGAAGTTTATTAAAAGAGCATATGTTCAAAAATCTAAGAGAAAGCAGACTTAGGGGGGAATGAAACATCTAAAATAGGAAAATTTACAATAAGGTTACCGATTTGGCATTGTCCTCTCTCAATGGATAGATTTTCTGTACTTCTCTCCCTGTATTTAACCAAATATGAAATTACTTTCTTGTAAAGTTTGTACCAGAGAGACTATATTATATCAGGTCTCTAAACCCATTAAAAACCCAAGGATCAGATTAGCCCAGTTTGGATTAGACTTGTCTACAACCAGCAGGCTGTAGTTAGTGGCAAAAGCCTACAATCTCAGCACTCTGGAAGGCTGAGGTATGAGCATCACAAGTTTGATTTCTGCTTGGGCAGCTTAGCAACTTAAGGAGACTTTGTCTCAAAAAAAAAAAAAAAAGGCTGAGGATATAATTCAGTGTAGCTGTTCAACCCCCAGTGCTGGAGAGGGGAGGAGGAGGGAGAGAGGGAGGGGAATGGGGGAGGCAGAGGAGAGGATGGGAAAAGGAGAGAAGGCCCGAGGGAGGAGGGAGGAAAAGGGGTGGAGGATGGGGGGGCGGAGGGGGAGAGAGAGGAAGGGGGAGAGAGAGGAAGGAGGAGGAATAGGAAGAGGAGGAGGAAAAGAAAGAAAAATGTATACCTCTTTGTCCTGTTGCCTGAAATCACAGAGGGAGATGGGTCATATAAAATAAATATGGCTGTGACAGTACAACTCCGCTGAAGAGAGAATTTTTCAGAAAAAGATGTGGCCTTCTAAACAACAACAACCCTAAATGGAGTCCTAAAATGTTAAAAAAAAAAAAACACCAAACTTTTATCTGGAATAGTCTAAAAATTTAACAATTGCTAATTGTACCCCAAACCATTTACAAAGATAGAATTTTCCTCCAAATCATTCCCAGCCTCTTCATGGTTGCTGGTAACAGACTTCAGAAACTTGAAATCGCTGGTCGCAGTGCCTCCAGTGAGACACACCTCATAGCGGTAGCTGTGGGACAGGGTCCCCGTGCCGCTGACGTCCCCCAGGGGGCCCGGGAAGGGGCCCTCGGGCA